TAGGCAGACCTCCTTGGACAATGCTGGTGGAAAGCCACTGCTTCCCAAAGGGGAACTGGTACTGACAACTCAATGACATGTATAGAGGAGATTAAAAAGGGTAGTTTTGTCTACCTAAAAGAGGTAGACAAAGAAACCTTTATATAACTGCATAATACACTAAAATCTTATAATCCTCTAACTTCCGCAAAGGCATAAACAGCTACTGTCCATACAAAATGAATTTAATAACCCTGCGAGCAGAACAGAGGTTCTCAAAAACCTTCAGCAGCTACCCAGAAATTACTACAAGCATATGTACTCAGGGAAGTTACTATTCCAATTCTGAACCTGTACCTCCTATTGAGTCTGTAGCCTTAACAATGTGACTTTATATACAATTAAGTTTAGTACAAGCAGAAAAAAACATAGGAACACCTCAGAGAATTGTTAAGACTAATAAAGAGACAAGTATTTCTACCTGAAAAAAAAGTATGCTCTTAGCAAAGCACATCACTGCTTAATACAGTCTTGCCAACTTACCAACAATTAGGGAAATTCAACGCATCACAATAGCAAGCACAGGAACTGTGAAGCGGGACACATCACCAGACTTAATCAGATAAGCCTGTTAAGGACAGCCACAGTTAAGAACTCGCTACTACCAGCACAGCAAAGGTGTGTTTATAAACCCTCCTCTCACTCACCATATGGTCCCAAATACAGTTTCAGCTGGCCTTGAACAATCCTCACCCACTCAGCACCTAACCAGTTCCAGACACCCCATCTCACCCTACACCCCCTTCCAACTTGGAGGCACCACAAAGCAACTGCTTCCCAAAATGACACCAGAAAGTTGCAATTACAAATACTCAGGAGAACAAGGTAGCTATCTATGAGCAGTTTCACACCCATATAAATAGCTAGAAAACTCTAGCAGGATCTGAAGAAGGATCCAATTGTCCAGTTGGAACTGAGCTTTATTTCTACAGAAGATCCTTATACTATAAATAAGTACAACGCACTGCTTCATTAGTTAGTAACTGAACAGGCAAAAAAAGCAACACTTCTTTAACTCGTATGTCCTATGTGACTTCAACAAGAATCATCTCCCCATTGAAGTGGTGGATTCCGCAACATCGGACACTTTCAAGATTCAGTTGGACAAGGTGCTGGACCATCTTGTCTAGCCCGTGCTTTTGCCAAGAAAGGTTGGACCAGATGATCCTTGAGGTCCCTTCTGAGCTAGTATTCTATGATTCTATGAAGGGTCCATTGAAACAGATATTTAAGGCCTTCTAACGTCTTCAGCTACTTGGGATTACTAAACAGATGCTGTAGCCTAATTCTCTGTGCAGGTATTTTATGTACATTATGTATATACAGCTGCTCAAAGGAGAAAAGGTCTCTAGAGCTGAAGGGTCAGAATATCTCACGGGTGCACTCACATCTGTCTTTCCTGCACAGGACAAGTGCATAGGGCATACACAGTCTTCTTTTCGGTTCCTCTCACCTTCCAGAGGACCATCTTACTGGTCTCGGTTGTATCTAGCAACTACTGTGCCGCAAATACACACCATAAAATATAAACACCCTAATCTTCATTAGGATATTTCTACTTTATTTCTTATTTATTTTCTAGTTCCAGTTTTCTCTCTTTTTCCAATAAACGCTCATCCTTTCTGGCTACTATTAAGCTTCTTCAGTCTTGTCCAGTGCCTGCAAAGCAGCCTCCCATCGGAGAGGCAGGGCCAGATGCCTTCCAACTTGGCTTAAAATCTTACTCAGTCTCTGCATGTCATCTCTCATCTTCAGAGGAGATCATCTGCCCAACACGCAGGAGCTATGAATATATACTGGCTATTCGTGCACCATAAAGTCAGTAACATATTCAGATGTTGATATGTCAACGGTGTGCTACATGAACAAGAGATGGTGCAAAATCTCTGCTCCTGCTTGAGGTATCTAAAACTAGATTTGCATAAGAAGCCTTATTTGCAGAAGCCCCAGTCGCACTAATTTAATGCTGAATATGCCCTCAGCTGTCACACTGATGGGCAACAGAGGACTACATGCTACAGACCAATTTCTTAGATCAGGGACTTCCTAAACAAGTTCTCCTCCTTGAAAGTTGAACTGGAGTTGCAACTGTGCTAAGCATTGTCTGTCCTCAACATTCCCGTCAACTGGATTCCTTCTCCCTCAGTCAGATGCCTGATGTATGCCTTTCTCATATGGCTTTCGCAACAACTCTTGCAAGGAGCAAGAAGATGGAAAGGCACCAGACAATTACCATTGTCCTAAGACAAGCAGATGAGTCTTATGTAGTAGATTTGCTGGATTTCAGCTTAGGCCCTGACCAAGATTTAGGACACCACCTTCAGCCAAACCTCAGCTTTCTAAAGCTCATGATCTGGAAGTTAGTTGGCTTGCAGACAGAGCGGATTCCCAGCAAGAGGCATCGTAGTCTAAAGCAGAATCAGAGGAGAAGAATCATAGAATCCTAGAATGGCCTAGGCTGGAAGGGACCTTAGAGATCATCTAGTCCAACCTCCCTGTCATGGGCAGGGACGCCTCTCAACTAGATCAGGCTACTCAAGGCTCCATCCAACTTGGCCTTGAACACCTCCAGGGAGGGGGCAGCCACAACATCTCTGGGCAATTTATTCCAAAGTCTTGCCACCCTCGTGCTGAAGAATTTCTTCCTAAGATCCAATCTAAATCTATTCTCCTTCAACTTAAAACCATTTCCCCGTGTCCTATCAGCAGATACTCTTGTAAAAAATCCCTCCCCAGCCTTCCTGTAGGTTCCCTTCAGGTATTGGAAGGCAGCTATTAGGTCCCCCCGAAATCTTCTCTGTTCAAGACTGAACAATCCCAGTTCCCGCAGCCTGTCCTCGTAGCAGAACTGCTCCAGCCCCTGGATCATCCTTGTGGCCTCCTCTGAACACACTCCAACAGATCATCCACTAATAAGTAACTGGATATGTTTTTCCACGTCGGTGTTCACTCATGAAAGCTCATTTCTCAAAGATTCACCTGGAAGTTATTTTGCAAGTGGACATTCTCCATGTGCACCTCCTTTCCCCAAGTTATAGGTGAGGGCAAAAATATCCAAATCCCCAGTGCCTTTTTCTGCAGTTTTTAATGGAACACAAACAGAAATCAACTGGAAGGTTACAAGATTTTTTTGACAGTTTAACACCTGAAGTTGAGAGCCTCATCATACAGCCTTTTACACAGTAAACTCTCTATCTGCATCAGCATTTTATTTATTCCTACAAGTAGGGATCCTTTAAAAAGTGGAAGACCAATCTATTTGTATTTCTGTCATTCTACTCCTCAATCTTAACCACCTAAGACCAAAGATTTTTACTCACTTCCTTTCTTCCACTCTTCACTGTAACCTGAGACATGCTTTAACTTTTAATTTTTACTGCACTGAAATAATTTACAAAAAAATCACCGAACAAAAACATAAACTTTTTTTTTTTTAACAGATTATCTATCCGGCGATACTGACTTAGAGATTGCAGCAGGACAAGTGTAACTGTCTATTTAGAGAGCTCTAAGGTAGAATTAATATCTCAATACTCCTCATAAACAAAAGGGAAATATCTGCAGCAGCAGTGAAGCCATTTTTTCCAGAGATCTACTGAACAGATGCCTTCAGTTCCACTCATATCTATGTCACCATGCAGGACACTTTTCTGCTGTAGCTCTCCCCTCAGAATTTCAAGGCCTTCAAAACAAGAAAGAGAGGAGGGAGAGGAAAAAGCACCTGCAGATAGAGAACAAGAACATGCAGTAACACATAATGGTCAACACATATTGAAAAGCTTCCAAATACTGTCATACAAAAACATATAAAGTTCCTCAGAAGCGTTTACTGCAAACCACAGGCTGCTGTATTTGTGTGCTCTATTCACACTGGGCTGGCCCAACAGCAAGATCCCGGACCACACACTCTTCCTAATTTCAACTATACAAAACCAGGACCTTCCATGTTATACCTTATATGATAGTTCAACCATACTCCTTGTATTTCTCCACAGGCACTTAGTTACATTTCAAGTTTAGCCTGTGGTTCCAGGAGCATTTGAAAGGAAGACACAGGGCTCCACAGAGACTGTTTTCTCTCCTCTGCTTTAAAGAGTTAATTCTCCACCAGAACCTGCTGCAGCAGCTCTCTATAGCACCCCTGCTCCCAGTGGTTAGGTTGAGGCCTGGTAGCTTTAGTAATTCTCAAACATCTGAAGAACACAAAGAACCCCTCTTATGGACCTAAACAACTGTTTGTATAACTGACATGTCTAAGTTTACCATGAAGTCAACTATCAAATTTGAAAAAGCAGGCAAAAAAACAGATGATAGCAGTATGTTAAAAATATACTCAGCTAACTGTCTAGCTAGCGAAACAACTTGGAGGAACACAGAAATCACATATAGGCACAATAATTCCACCATCCTCCCTGATTTTTAATCAGGATCGGTCTAGAAAACCTTGCAACTTTAAAAGGGTAGTTCTCTTAGTGCAGCAAGAGCTAAGCACCCAACAGTAGACACTTCAGCTTGACTACTATTAGCATAACCATCTGCCCTTGGCCAGTTCAGATGGCAGATAAAAGGAAATAGGAAAGCAAGCAGACATGTACTTTTGTGGTATCCTCACATGTACTAAATAACCTTGTTACTGCACACAGATGTATTCCTGTTGTAGGCAACTCCACATCACACTTTAAAACATCAAGTAACACGTTGAATACCACACTTTAGATGTCACAGAATTAAAATGTTACATGTAGAGACAAAAGATATTTTTCATCCCAGTGTTTACTCCAGAACTGATCCTAAAGTAAAACATTAGGTGAAGTTTATTAGAGTAATTATACTGATAAACTTTTTACTAAAGACGTGTTACATCAATAAACACACTCTATACTATTCTCTCTTACAGCACTTAATCAAGTAAACCAAAGTCTTTTGTTAACATCAAAATTAAAAAAACAAACCTAAACCCATACCATCACAGTGAAAGTAGGAATTGGAGAGTTGTTCACGTACATCTGACTTAGGCTGCAATTCAAAAGAGGAAATTTTCACAGCCCTAGCCAACAGTCATTTGCCAGTAAATACAGAATAACTCTACCTTTTCAAAGGCCAGAGATGTAACTCCACAGCAGCGTAAGCAGCAGCACAGCATAGTAGCAGCAGCCACCAATCTAGTTTTACACCGGCCATTCCCTCCCTCACACTGCTTCTGGATTTCATGCAAAACTGTTCCACAAGTTGGCTGGAAAACCCCAATTTGTGACAGATTATTGGCTTACCAATAGTGTCCATTTTAGGTCTGTTCAGCTCCCATACCTAGCCATGTGGCAGACCACTCCTGTCCTTCCCTTGTGCTAGAAGCTATACAGCACGAGAACACTATTAGACCAGCTCAGCTACGTCAAACCGGGCCAGAAGACACTGGGGTGACCAACCACCTGACTAAGGCAGTGCAAGTTACCCGCTCTCCCAATCGTTACAGGGAACCCCTGGCAGAGCATACAATAGGTAAAAGATGTCATGAACCTTGTAAATGGTTCTTCTGCCTGCACTGCCACCAAAAACTTGTCACCAAACCTGGCTATAAAGTTTCTGTTCACCCCTAGTCCAAGCTTACTGAATGAGTTCCTTAATAACCTTTCTCACAACTTCCACGATGCAGGATACTGTAGTAGTTCTAGTGTAAGTCATTAACACACCCCTAATAGGGCTGAAAAGAACATTCAGAAAGGATATGGATAATCCACTCCAAAAGCAACAGTGATACTACATAGTAAGAACAAGTTACTCCTCAGATGTCTCTACAAGAGCACTGACAGCCTTCAAACCTTAACTGTCAAGGGAAATTAAGGCATCTGAATGAAGAAATGGGGTTTCAAGAACAATGTTCCAGGGATCAGATATTCAGGTAGGATTTTACCAGCATTCCTCAGCAAAGAAACCCACAGGAATAGACACCAAAAAGGAATTCCGTACTACGCTATGTATAGTACGATGCTGTGATCATGAGGTTTACCTCAACCTAACTTCTGTAAGAAAAACATGACAAATTTGTTAGATTTTTAAATAAGTTTGAATGATACACCGACACATTAAAATACACATCTTTATCCTGTGCAAAGCATGGGAACTGAGGGACCAGGAGAGAAGAACAAGAAAGCACAATTTTGTCACAGATTAATACAGCGAGAGGGCATGACTTCTCAGTCTGCTGAGCTGTCTGCTAAACAGCCAGGAACACTGAAAACAGCAGACAAGAAACAAGACACCAGAAGTTGAATCAATGTCAGACTTGGGAGGAGAATACTAACATAGTTTAAGAAGGGCAAGCACAGAAAAAAAGAAGTGATGCTGCACTGCATCATTCAATTTCAGTTTATTCAGAGAGGAGACTTTTCTCAGAAAAAAACAAAACCAAAACCAAACAAAAAACCCAACACCCACCAAAAATAACTGCATGTGTAACCAGTCACAGGATAAGACAGAGTGGTAAAAAAAGATGGAAAAAGTGGGAAGAGATGGTTAAGATGGTGCCTACTCTAAGTGGCAGGAGATAAATCATCATCATGTTTTTAGAACATGCTTGGCACAATT